GATTATTTAATATAATATTAAATATTCATATATGCGTCGGGCCGAAACCCGGTAACGGGATGTTATAGCTAAATAAGTAAGTGTATTTAATCTAAAATATAAGTTAAATATATTTAAATAATATATTTTATATAGAAAACTAAAGAAAACTGTCATTGTGGTTTGTAAATTAAATAAAAAAAATAAATAAAATAATATAAAAATAATTTTTGTTGTTGTAGCCACTCCTTTTCGAAGCCTCTGTAATAAATATATAAAATAAATAAAAAAGATAAGCTAATTAAGCTAATGGATTTATAGCCCATTTATAAAGGTTTTACTTATTTTCTTTTTAATTTTTATTAATTCAAGCATATTTACTTTTGATGTAACCTATTCCGGAATATTGCTTTGACCACCACATATATGTTAATTTCTGATATAGCCTATTCTAGATATTGCTTTTGTCAACCTACTCTAACAATATATTGGTTTCTGATATAGCCTATTCCGGGATAATTTGTTTTGTTCAGCTCATTTAAAGCATGTATTGATTTCTGATATAGCCTATTCCTGTATATTGCTTTAATCATCCCATTCCATGCATATAATCACTTTAAATCACTTTAAATATAGTCTATTCCACGATACTGCCTCGGTCAGCTCATTGTAAGCATATATTGACTTCTGATGTAGCCTATTCCAGGATATTTTATTTTGGTCAGCCCATTCTAAGCATATATTGACTTCTTAAGGAACCTATTCTGGGATATTGCTTTGCTCAGCCCATTCTTAGCATAAATTAACATCTGATATTATGTAATTTACTTCATATGTCGTCAGGTTTTTACCACTGGTGACATAATCGTGGATACGAAGATGTTTATGTAGTATAATGGGAAACAAGATTAAAGATTAAGATTAAACTATTCGTCGTAAGATCTTTGCTACTTTCTAAAGTACATTTGCAATAGAGTACTGAACTTGACTTAGAAAGCAGGATAAGATTTTCATTATAGTTATAAGATAATTTTTTAATTTCTGAAACGTTGACAGATTTCTTGTTGTTCAGTATGGAAAGTTTCATCTATGGACTGAATTGAAACTGAAAAGTTTAAAGCAAAACCCATTGAATTAGCGTGAAGAGTTAGCAATAAGGGGGTGGGTTTTGGGTAATGAGTGAGCTGATGAGCTAGCCAGAACTGCATCAAAAACCACTTTTACAGACCCTCAACCCTTTTGTGGGTTGAACTGGATCAGGTTAAAACAAATGATAAGGGAGAGGGAGAATTTTTTGTGTCTGGTGTATTGGGAAGATTTCTCTGGACTCAGAGAAATCAATTACATATACTTTAATTATCTGCAAATCCAGAATGCAGATTATGCCTCGAAGATGAGTAGAAAACTATGCATATTCATTGCGACTGTTCAGCTTGAAGAAGGCACTAAAGAAACTTGATTCATGTGGAATTTCTGTGCTCAGTACAGATTAAGAGCTCTTCTCCAGATTTAGTTGAGGACTTTGTGTAATTAAAAGTGAATTTGGTACAATAATACTTTTTTGATCGCAGTACCGGCTATGAATTTAAATTGAAGTTCTTGTCTCCTAGTAAAGTGAATCGCTGACAAGAACTAAGCGTTGAATATGTCAGGACTTTCGCAGAGACAATGAGCTTCTAAGTTAGTATTCTTTATATAGGTATTTTCCGTTTTAAATATATGACATAGAACACAACCCAAAATCCATCTTATCAACATTTTCATTTGTGAAAAAAATTCTTTATTGTATATAACAAACATATATATATACATCAGTGACGACGCGTGCCCTATCTGGAAGGGTGTGCGGCTCTTCTACAATGTTGTTTTACATGTACCGCTTAAATTTAAAATGATAAATTGAAATATATGAGATGTTTTATGAAGAATAACTATACATTAGGCAATAATATATTCACAATATAATATTTATAATTTAATTAACAAATATTAAATTAAATAAATTAAATTAATAATTTGCACATATATACATATATATATATGAGTTGAATATTATATCAATATGGATTAAACACAACTTTTTACATACTTCTTATAACATCAAACCAACTTTCTTTAAACAAAAAAGTTTGTACTCAAACCTATACATGTTTATGCATTTATCAAACAAAATCGAATAAACTTGCAACGTATAAATGTGCGGCCAACTTTTCCGCACGCAAAGGGGACGAAATACAATAGAAATGCGATTTAAGCTGCAAACTTATGAGCACAACTAACAACTATAGCAGCTAAGAGAAGC